GTGGCTTTCATTCCTCCCCCACGGCAGCACTTCTTGGAGCATCTCCCAGACCCTCTGCCAGCAGCAAACAGGGGGAAGAAGAGGGAGGAAAGCAGATCTTTTGCTATTTGTATGGCTGGCTGCAAACCCACAAACTGAGGGTCAGAACAGCCCTTGGGAGCATCCCTGGGAATAAAGGAAACAAGGAGAGATCACCCTGCACACAGGAGTGCCTGGTTCCTGGAACATCCTCCCACCAAGTGCTTTTCCCAGCACCACACACGCAGAAGAATTCCAGTTTGGGTGTCTATAAAATCCATTGAGATAAGAGAAATAATTCAGGAGGAAATTATTATTTAATAATAATACTGAGCAAAGGCATCATCTTGTTAAATCCTTGTGAAACAGCCAAGTGGGTGCAGAGCTCAGCTCTTCTGGTTCTCTGAAAGGCTGGGATCCGTCTGGAGCTGTCAGCGTGGCTGAGGGAGGCGGCTGCAGACACACAGACGATAATAATAGCTCACAATTAGGATAGTAAATCAGGAGAGAGCGTCACTCAATTCAGAGAAATTCCCCTGATTTGCTGGAGACGGGAGTTTGGCTCTTTGTACCGAGCTGGTGCTGTTTGGATGACAAATCCCCCTGGTTTTGCAGAACCTTCACAAGGCGGCAGCAGGAGGAGCACGTTGGAAATTCAGCTCCACTTGAGTTGTTCCATGCCCAGCCTCAGTTTCTACATATTGCATAAGGATCAGCCTCGGGCAAAAAATTTTCTGCATTCAACCCACCCTGCCATGGCAGATCCAGAAAAGGCTGAAATGGTGCAGCTGAATTAAAAACCCTCAGCCACAGTGGCCTCCTGCCCAGCTGGATGCGTGTGGGAAGGAAACCCATAGTGCAAGGGCTGGTCATGAGGGATTCCCAGTTCTCCTGTAGGCTTAGATATTATTTCCCAATATTGGGATCTGCCTGGGGCTTGGGAAAATGCAATTTTTGTTTCAAGATGAAGAGAGAGGAGCAGCAGGCGATCACATCTCCCAGTGCTGACCTGCTCTTTGTCTGGGCCACCTCCTGCTGCAGGCACCTCGGGGAGCTAAAATACTCTGATTTATCCCTAGCATGTCCCCACATTGCCCTGGATGACTGGGCACCACACTGAGCACTGATTCTCTCAGGTGTTCAGGGTGTTCCAGGCCCTCCATCCCACCTCAGAGTGTCCTGCAGAGGTTGCTGTCAGCACTGGTAACTCCATGCAAATTTGGCTGCTGTATATGGGGATAGAAATATTTCCCATTGCTTCCTCCAGCACTTGTGCCTTGGGTGCCAGGAGCCTTGTGGGACTTGTTGCTTCCTTGGTGCTCCTTGTGGGGCCATGGCAGAGTGGTCCAAACCTCGTGCCTGAAGGCAGGGCTTGATCCATAGTTTTACATGGTAGGAGCTTGGCCATCTCTTTCCCTTGGAATGGGAGAAGCCTCCTCCTGGAGGGACTTCAGTAAATGCAAAGTGATATAAAACTATTGCTTCTCACATCCTCACCCCAGCCCAGGGCAGCCCCTGAAGTCCAATCCTGCCCCATCTCCTTCCCCAGAGCTGCAGGGAGCTGCTGGCTCTCCGTGCCCCGATGTCCCCGAGCAGATCCAGGCTGTCACCAAGAGCATGGGATGGATCGGAGCCGCATGGCAGAGCAGCCCCGTGTATCCAGGGATATGATTATTTCCCAGTGGTTGAAATCTAGGTCTCCTGCTTGGGAGGAGGGGTGCGGGGGGAGGGGGAGAAGACGCTCATATTAATCTTATGAATATTCATGCAGAAGCTGAGCTGCCTTGGGAGGTTGAGTCCGGGGTACGAGTTTGGGGGGCTGTAGGTGAGAGGCGCCGGCAGCGGCGGGAGCAGAGCAGCTGCTTGTGCATTCTCCGCATGCCTGACTGCAGAGCCAAGTGTAAGTTGGTGCCTTTTTCTCTCCCCTCCACCCCATCCCTGCATCCTTCCCCCTCTTCCCGCTGCTCCCCTGCTTAAACCCAGCCTGGCCAGGAGCGGTGCAAAGCGAGGGAGTCGCGCTTTAGTCGCAAACACGACCCCAAATCGTGTGACTCCCGCCTGCAGTGCTCAGTGCGGGCAGAGAACAAACTGAGGGGGTTTTGGGCAAATCTTCACCTCCTCCATCCCCCCTTCCAGCCCCCAAATTTGCATGAATTAACCCTAAAGATGCTCGAGGGGGAGCGGAGGTTGTTTGCCAGGAAGAGCAGCCATGGGGAGAAAGTAGGAGAAACTGAGTGCTGGGATGGGTGATGTCAACTGAGATGATGCCGTAACCCTCTCCGCCAAGCACCGAGCACCAGAGCCTGCATTTGGAGTCGGAGGAAGAAGCTCAGAGCCCATGCCAAATAAAAATCAACATGTTAAATAAAAACAAAGTAAATTTCTGCGCTGTTAAACAAATCTGGGGTGTTTGGGGAAGGGAGAAAAAGGAGGACGGAGTTTAGGGGCAGGAGAAAAGCGGCGTGTTTATGAAAAAATAAATAAAACATTGAAGGTTGGTGGATCTTTGGTGAGATGGGGGTTCGTGGCTGCCAGATCTTTCCTGCAGCAGCTGGAAAATGTTGTTTGTGGTGTTCTGGCGTGATGCTCGGACGAGCCAGGGAAGGTCAAATCCAGCTGAACTCCTCGGCGAGTCGCTGGGGAGTGAGTGGTGGGGACAAAATGCAGGAAAAGGATAAAAACTGGGACAGATGCGACCTCCTCTCCTCTGGGCCTGGCAGAAAAGGGTTAAGAGAAGCGGTTGAATGCTGCAAGCCTCGTCAGGGTTGTACTATTTTTTCTAGTGCATAAGGAGAAGGGAGAGGAGGGTTGCACGGAAAAGGGAAATTTCCAAGAAAAGAGGGATCTGCGGCAATATCTGCACCTCGGGGGATGAAGAGAGGAACCAACAGGCATAAATGGCCTGGAGATGGCTGAAATCTTTGCCGAGGAGATTGGGACCGAGGGGTTATTTTCCACCTGCCTCCCCTGCCCGGTTCTGTAATCCTGGCTCAAAGTAGACAAGTCGAGTTGGAGCTGAAGAAGGGAGGTTAGAGGGGTTTTTATTTCATTTGGGAGGGGGAAAAAAAAAGAAAAAAAGAAAAAAAGAAAAAAAAACAGCAAAAAAAATGAGAGGCTGGTTGGCCCTCTCCGGGCTGAGCATCTCCATGGTGCGAGGCACTGCAGGATGATCCGAGGGAGCGCTCGGATGCTGAGGACCCGGCACCCACCGGGGACATGAACCTCAACATCCCCACGAGAAATTTCATCCGCCGGAGTCGAACTCCCACGGGGGTGGGTCGGCCGGGGGGTTGGCTCTCGGGAGGATGGGGAGGGTGGATGCGGTTCGCGTGGGTCCCGCGGCCCCGGTGCTCGTGGGGCCGGTGGCCTTGGCGGGGGCACAGCCAGGGAGCGGCGGATGGAGCCGGAGCCTCCCGAGCCACCGGGGGACGCCACGCGAGGCCCGTGGGTGCTGTGCCCGGTGGGTGACACCGACTCCCGGGTGCCGGCGGGGCCGGGAACCCTCCGTGGCTTTTGCAGAGCTTTGCTGCCGGGGGGGCTGCGTCGTTCCCCGCCTCTGCCCCGCCTGGCACGGGCTCGGCGGGCAGCCGGCCCCGCTGGGCTGAGCGCAGGGACACGGGGCTCTGGTTTTGGACACGGGGCTCTGGTTTTGGACACGGGGCTCTGTTTTTTTTTTTTTTTTTTTTCCGCCTCGGCGCTGGCGCTCTCGCCCTCCTCTGTCTCGTGTTGCAGTGCAGCTTGGGCGGGCAGCGGGCGAGCGGCTCGGGGAAAGCGGGTGCCCGGAGGAGCCGGGGCTTTGCGGATGCTCCTTGCCAACCCCCACGGCTCGCTACCTTCTCGGTGTTTTTTCCAGGCGATGCCACACCTCCCGAGGACACTGGGGACATCGGGCTTTGCTGAGCTTAGCAGCTTTTCACCGTCGTACCGAAGGCATCAGACAGACGCTCATCTACCCTGAAGTGCAGATCTGCAACAGCTCCCGGGAAGACTCTGTCTCTCTGTCTCTCTGTCTCTCTTTCTCTCTCTCTCCAGTCCAAACCATTACAAGACCTGACTTCCACCATCTGGGAATCTAACCCCTCTTATGTCCCTTCTCCTTTTTCTACGATGACTCACCATAATTTTTAACTTTGAAGAGAGAGGAAATTATGGGGATCTTGGAAACCTGTATTTCTCTCTAGGATTTCCCCAGGGTCAGATAATCGGTGTTACTAAGAGACACTAAGATTTGGCTTCTCCAGGTAATGTGATTTGTTTTCTGTGTGCCATGGTGGTTTGCAGAGAATGACAGGAGCCGGGACACCAGCGGTCGAGGAGGGGGACTGCGGTGGTCCGCGGGGCAGCTGGAACCGCCGGCTCCACATTCCGGCAGCCGCAGAGCTTGGCTGCAGGCAGGGAGGGCAGCATGTCACCAGGGAAAGAGGATTGGGAAGGTGTTAAACTTAAAAACCGAGCTGGAGCTTTCCTGGAGGGTAGATTGCCTGAGATCGCACGGTTAAATGTTAATTAACCCTTAGCTGCATGCCTGGAAATGAGCTGAGCCTGGCACCCCGCGGGGTCCTCTCGCCACTTCAGGGCTGAATGGGGTTATTTTTTTTCCTTCCTTTCTCTTCCCTTCCCCCTCTTTATTTTTTTTAACTGGAATTTTTATTTTTAGCCAAAAAATAAGCCCTGGTTTACCATTGCCAGTTTTTCCACGCTGGTTTCGAACAGGTGATGGTTCCTCAGGTGTTTTCTCTGTTCCACCTAATGGGTTTAGATGGGAGTTGTTGAACTCTGTCCCAAGGAAGGCAAATTAACCCCTCCAGGAAGGGGATAGACGTGCTAGGAAGGGATCTGCTCTCCTCCCCCCAACTTTATTCCATCTCTCTCTTTCTCAGCAGGGGCGATTTTCTTTCTTCTTCTTCTTCTTCTCCTTCTTTTTTTTTTTTTCTTCTTCTTTTTTTTTTTAATCTCATCCCTTCGCCTTTTCATGAGACTCTTCCAAACCTACGTACCTGTCCTTCTGCAGGATAGTAGCCCTGCCCTGAACCCGACCCCACCGCCGGGCGCTGGGAAGAGTTTAGCATAAGGATTTCTTTTAAAGCCCAATAATGACAGTTGCTACTGGAGATCCTGCAGATGAAGCTGCAGCTCTTCCCGGTCACCCACAGGACACGTACAACCCCGAGACCGACCATGAGTGCTGTGAGAGGGTGGTCATTAACATCTCGGGGCTGCGCTTCGAGACGCAGCTCAAGACGCTTGCCCAGTTTCCTGAGACCTTGCTAGGGGATCCTAAAAAGAGGATGAGATATTTTGACCCTCTCCGGAACGAGTATTTCTTTGACCGGAACAGACCCAGCTTCGATGCCATTTTGTACTATTACCAGTCCGGGGGGAGGTTGCGGCGGCCCGTGAACGTGCCCTTGGACATCTTCTCCGAAGAGATCCGCTTCTATGAGCTGGGGGAAGAAGCCATGGAGATGTTTCGGGAGGATGAAGGCTACATCAAGGAAGAGGAGAGGCCGCTGCCTGAGAACGAGTTTCAGAGACAAGTGTGGTTGCTCTTTGAGTACCCCGAGAGCTCAGGCCCTGCCAGGATTATAGCTATTGTCTCTGTCATGGTGATTTTAATCTCCATCGTCAGCTTTTGCCTGGAAACCTTGCCCATTTTTCGGGATGAGAATGAAGACATGCACGGCAGCGGGCTGAGCCATCCCCCCTACTCCAACAGCAGCATGGGGTACCAGCAGTCCACTTCTTTCACAGACCCCTTCTTCATCGTGGAGACACTTTGCATCATCTGGTTCTCCTTCGAGTTCTTGGTGAGGTTTTTCGCCTGCCCCAGCAAGGCTGGTTTTTTTACCAACATCATGAACATCATAGACATCGTAGCCATCATTCCCTATTTCATCACCTTAGGGACAGAGCTGGCCGAGAAGCCAGAGGATGGTCAGCAGGGCCAGCAGGCCATGTCCTTGGCCATCCTCCGAGTCATCCGCTTGGTGCGGGTCTTCAGGATCTTCAAGCTCTCCCGGCACTCCAAGGGGCTGCAGATCCTGGGACAGACTCTCAAGGCCAGCATGAGGGAGCTGGGCCTCTTGATATTCTTCCTCTTCATCGGCGTCATCCTCTTCTCCAGCGCCGTCTACTTTGCCGAGGCCGACGAGAGCGAGTCGCAGTTCCCGAGCATCCCCGATGCTTTCTGGTGGGCTGTGGTTTCCATGACGACTGTTGGCTACGGAGACATGGTCCCCACGACCATCGGGGGGAAAATCGTGGGTTCCTTGTGTGCCATCGCTGGTGTATTAACCATTGCCTTACCAGTGCCCGTCATAGTGTCTAACTTCAATTACTTCTACCACCGGGAGACCGAGGGAGAGGAGCAGGCTCAATATCTGCAAGTAACCAGCTGCCCAAAGATCCCCTCTTCCCCTGACCTAAAGAAAAGCAGAAGTGCCTCTACTATTAGTAAGTCTGATTATATGGAGATTCAGGAAGGTGTAAACAATAGCAATGAGGATTTTAGGGAGGAGAACTTGAAGACAGCCAATTGCACCCTAGCTAACACAAACTATGTGAATATCACCAAAATGCTAACTGATGTCTAGTTGCTAAAATCTAGTCCCGTATTTAAAGCTGAAGTGGAACAATTGCAGATATTGAGTGCTGCTCTGCATTGTAGTTAATACAGTATTTTCTACGGTGTATATTTGGTTCTGCATGGGAAGCAATAGCTGTGTAAGTGACTTTTAACCTTTGATTTCTGCACCGAATAAGCGTCCGTGCAAAAAAAAAAAAAAAAAACCCCAACAAATCCAAACCATTTCTTTGCCCTTCTCCCATCCCAGGCTCGTGGGTTTCCAAAGACACGGAGGGGACGGGCCCTTGGAGCAACGGGATGGAGATGCAAGGGGCAGGTCCGGGGTGCCACAAATCCTGGTCCCTGTCCTGGGTGACAGGCAGCTCCCAGGGACAGGGATGAGCTGGGAAAGGTCAGGCAGAGCTTCCTGGAGGGCGCTGCAGGCGTGGGGTTGGATTGCTGGAGGCTCCTGCCCCAGGAACGCCGAGCGCGGCGCCCGGCTCGTGTTTCATAACTGAAAATGCTGCATGCTGCAATAGTTTCAGCCACTGCAGTGTGCCAGTGTGAGGCCCAGGGGAGGGATAATTAGTGTGAAGGCACATTATTTATTAAGTCTTAAATTTTCTATGCGAGGCATCGGGAGGGACGAGTAAATAAATCAAGAGCTTGGAATTTATTTATTTATTTAGATGACACTTCCATCATCAATATTTCCAGGATCACCAAAGACACCTCCACTGACACATTGAAAATGAGTTGGAAAAAGCATCTTTTTTTATATCTATATATAAAACTGGAGCAACTATGCTGTGGCCTATAATATATTTATACTGCAGTGAAATTTAACCAGTAATACAGTACAGCTGCATGGATATTTGTTGCATGAATCTGAATATTTAATACACACACAAATATATATTTTCTTAGTAGACTATACAGTATTCATGTTTATAGTGTTTATAGATTCTCCGGTGGCTCGAAGGAGATTTCTGGGAATTAAAAAAATCTCCATTATAGTTAAAAACCGGATGGGGAAGGCGTGTGCTGACAACAGTTGGATAGATAACAATGCAAAGCCTGAGTGTCCGAGCATCCAGACACAAGAGCTGACGAATGCAAGCCAGGGAAGGTGAGCTGAAAGTTAAACACCTGCACTCATTATGGGGCCAGTAATTAGTCATTAATCGTGGTGTCAGGAGCAGAAACCACGGTGGATGGGAGAGGGCACGAGGAGCAGGTGGAATAGCAGGTTCCAGCTCTCCTGACTTGTTTGCTCAGCAGTTTTCAGCCCTTCCCATAGAATTCCTGTGTGTGTGTGTGTATAGATATTTAGAGAGCGACTACAAGGCCGAATCCTCAGCAAACAGAGCACTTGGGGCATCGAGGACTTCCCAGCTCAGGGCTGCTGGGATGGGGGGACATGGGCTGGAGCAGGGTGGCCTGACCCTGGAGCCTGTGGGGTCACCAGGGCAAGGTGCATTTTGGGCTTGAAAGCTCCTTTTCAACCCCCTCAGGGCAGGGGTTTATTCCTTTATGATGGACTGGGCGTGTTCTGAGGTGGCCTGGATCCGAGCTGGCACCTCTGAGCCTTTGCTTTGCCTTCCTCCAGGGTGGTTAAGAGCAGTGGGTCAAAGGTGCAGAGAGCCTGAGGTTCTTCTTCTTCCCCGGTGTTATTTGGGGATGGGTGAGAGTTATTGATCCATGGGGAATCTCACCTACTTTCCCCATCCCTGTGTGGGTTTGCTTGTGTTTTCCCCATTGCTGACAATCCTCAGGGAGAGGTGCTCTGTTCCTCTTCCAGGTCAGGGGAGAAGGAGGAAAATCTCTGCCAAGGTCACGGCTGAGCAAAGCCTCCCTGGGTGTGGAACAGGGTTCAGTCAGGGTGAATTTGGGCTGAGCTGGGCCATGATCAGCCCTGAAACATTGAAGGGTGAGCACAAGGAGCCTGGGGAGGGGCCAGCCAGACCCTTCCTTCCTTCCTTCCTTGGAGAGGAAACCCCTGCTCCTGACAATAATCCAACCGGTGCTAAAGGACCTACAGCAATGGCTCCAAATGCTGCTCCAGAGCAGGATCCATTGCTGACAGGGCTCCACCTGGCCAGGTGGAATCACTACTCAGTTTTATTTGATTGATTGACTGATTGATTACTGAAGCCTGGCTATAATTAACTCCAAGTTTCCATGGTTTGTGCATGGCAGTCCCTGCTTCTGCGTGGGGCAAAGGACCAGCAGCATCCCCGTGCTGGGGTTCAGGGGTGCTCAGCCTCTCTTTAATTGGATCTTGTTGTTTTGGGGGTCCTGCACTCTCACTTTGCTGTGGCAGCCTGGGAATGGGAAACCCTGAATCCCGTTCATGCACACACACAAAAAAGCCAACACAACCAAAAGCAATAAATCCTGAGTTCTGAGGCTCCTCCTGTTGGATGGGGCAGGGCTGGCCAGAGTCACTGGCTCCAGCACCATTCCCAGGGTGCTTGGCCAATCTCCATGGATCCAGCTCGTGGTGGGTCCATGGGGACATGGGCTCACACAGGGAGCTGCCTGATGTGCTGGGATCCCTTAGCACCAGGTGATCCCGTTCCTGGTCAGGGTTGAGGTGTTTTGCTGGGGGTTTGGCTGCAGGTGCTTTGCTGGCACTCAGTGAAGTGTCTGGCTGTTGAACACCCGTGGGCTTGGGGTGGTTTGGAGGAGCTTTGGCAGAGCACTGGGTGAGTGTTGTGGTGGTTTGGTGAGGAGGAAGGTGAGGTTTTCCTTTGGGGTTGTGGGCACAGTGTTCCTGTGGGCTTTCCAAGGCCAGGCAGGAGGGGAGAGTGGATCCATGAGCAGGATCCAAACATCCAAACCCAATATCCAAGCTGGGGGGGGGTCCTGGCTGCCTTGGGAAGCTCCACAGTCACACATCAGGGACAAATGGGGATGAAGAGCAAGAGGCCACCCTCCTGTTGTCGCTGATGTGAGGTGATGACTGTCCCCAAGGCAGGGGCCAGCACAGCCCCTTCCTTAGGGCAGATCCTGAACCTCCTGTGCTGACCCTGGCAGAGGCTCCTGGGGAAAACGAGCCCTGGTGTGAGAGCAGCTCTGGGCTGGCCTTGTTTGGGGCACAAGGAAAACACCCAGGAGCAGTGCTGGATGTTTGGATCAGGGTGGGAAGGGTTGGTGAGGGCCATGTCTGAGAGGGATCCATGGCTAAGAGGGATCTGTGGCTGGGAGGGAGCTGGGAAGGATCCATGGCTGAGACAGATGTGTGGCTGGAAGGGATCCGTGGATAGGAAGGATCCGTGGTGGGAAGGATCCATGGTGGGAAGGATCTGTGCCTGGGAGGGATCCATGGTGGGAAGGATCCGTGGTGGGAAGGATCTGTGGTGGGAAGGATCCATGGTGGGAAGGATCCATGAGCCCACACGGAGCAGAAGGGTCCAGACTTCTGCCTCACACAGAGAAATGGTTCCCCTACAGCTTTTAATGGGATTTGTGCCTGCAGGTCGGAGCTCTAGTGCTATTTCTAGCTTTGCTTCTGACTCACTGATGTGATCTTGAACCAGTTTTTCAGGAGGAGACTGTGATATTTTTTTCTTTTTAATTTTTTTTTTCTTAAGGAATGTGGTTTGAGAGAGTCTGGGCCTGTTTCTGTGGAGATGCTGAGCATCCCAATCTCCTCCTGACTCTGAAAGGTGCAAAAATGAGCTGCAAACTGTCTCAGACTGAGGATGCTAAATTAGGGACTGGGGAACAGGAGGGTCCCAGAGCTGTGTTAGAATTCATCAGGCCCCTAAACTGAGGAGTCTGGTTCCTTTCCTCCTCCCGAGGAGCCATTTCCCTCTTTCCAGGCCTGGAATGGAAGACTGGAGCTCTCTGGTCTGTGGAGCTGCTCCTGGCTTGGCACCCGGAGGAGGCAGCGCCTCTATTTTAGTTTTAGCCACTGTGCCACAGTTTTGGAGAGATGGAAAGCTGTGATTACAGAGCGGGTTGTCTTCTAACACCCAACCTCGTGCCCAAGCCTGCAGGCAGCCCATCAGCCCTTTCAAATCTTCCAGAATATCTGCTGAGGGCAGTGGGGTGAGGCTCATGTACCAGCTGGATGCTACCAAGTGATTAGGAAAGAATGATCTCTCTGGAGCACGATGTTTTATTGGGAAAATTAATCTCTGCAGTGACTGTGTCAAAGTCCTACAGATTTCAATACTGAGCTATAAGAAGAAAAGGATCTCTGGATTGGCATTATGAGAGTGTGGCACGTGGGTGTATAAATATGGGCATATTTGTGCATAAATACACAGAAGGAGAGAAAAAGACAGAGGAGGAGGAGGTATTTCAGGAAGGACCTTGCTTTGTTATCAGATAATTCCTGGGTCAGCCCTTGAAACTGCTGCCAAAGCCTTGTAGCTTTTCCAGAGCTTGCAATACACTTGGGGATGGGAGCAGGGAAAGGAAATCTGGATCTCATCTTGGGAGTGGAAGCATCCTGAGGGTCTGGAGGCATTCAGCTCCTCACAGCCCTCTGCAAACAGCAGCTTTGCAATGTCTATTCCTGGCCCAAGTCCTGGCTTGGGCCAGTCACAACCATTTCTGTGACTGTGCAGGGAAAGCCAAGCAGAGGTGGAAGGGATTTGGTTGAGATGCTGGTGCTGTGCTGCACCAAGTGGACTTTGGGATGGGATTATTGTTTGTAATGGTTGGGTTTAAAAATCTCTTAAACTGTGATGACTTTTGGTCCCAGTGAGGTGGCTCCTGTTCTGGAGCCAGGGTAGATTTATCACAGAATCCTGGAATGGTTTGGGTTGGAGGGACCTTAAAACTCACCTTGTTCCACCCCTTGCCGTGGACAGAGTCACTTTCCTCTAGACCAGGTTGCTCCAAGCCCCGTCCAACTTGGCCTTGAAATTTTTTCTCAAGATCTTTACCATGAGACCACATCCCAAGGTCTGTATGCTAGCGGGGAGTTACCCATGGGAGTTACCCATGGGAGTTACCCATGGGAGTTACCCATGGGAGTTATCCATGGGAGTTACCCATGGGAGTTACCCATGGGAGTTATCCATGGGAGTTACCCATGGGAGTTACCCGGGGTGGTCACTCGTGGGAGCTGCTCACTGTGCTGCAGGGGTGAAGCAGGCTGAGGAAAGAAGGAGTCAGCCCCAAACCCTTTGGTTTGCACTCATCTGAAGGCTGTGGCTCTCTCCTCACCCTGGCAGTATTTGACCTTCTCCATGTGACACATCCCTGGGTCCTTCCTGCTGGGGACCAGCTGCTGCCCCTGCCAGGAGCCCCAAGGAGGGGACAAGGGCTCCCCCCAAGCCCCAGCCACTGCTCTGCCCTCCCCCAGCCCTGTCAGCACCCCTGACCTCGGTGTCCCCAAGATGTTTCTGCATTTGGCTGCCCAAAATCCACCCCCTGCTGAGAAATGGGTGCTCTGATCCTGCTGTGTCCTGTCAGGGGGAGAGGGCCCAGCCCAGGGGTGAAGCAGCCCTGGGAGCACAGCACTGATTTACACCTGGGGACAGGATCCCCCAGCCCAGTTGTGCATGATGAGAGATAAATCCCTAATTCATGTTTTTCCTCCGGAGAGGGGATGGTTTGGCTTGCAGGAGCTGCTGGACATTGTGTAACCACACCAGGTCCATGCACATGGACCCACCACATCCCCTCCCCAGCCCTGCCTGCCTTTCCTGAGCTTGGGGTTGGTCTTCTGGGGTTTGGTTTTTTGATTATTATTTTTTTTTTCTGCTGCCTATAAGATGTAATTATCCATTTGCACTTGCTCCCTCATTGTTTGAGACTGTGCTCTTGTCCTCCAATGTCATCCCCAAAGCACAAGGGGAAAAAATGGGTATTGGATCAGCCCTGCATGTGGTGCCTAATTTGAGCAAATCAATAGGAAGAGGAAATCCAAGAAGGACTCATCCTAAGGATGCTGGAGCTGAACCTTTTGTTTCCATGGTTACAGGAGAAATGGGACCAGGAATGGAGAGAGGCCTATAAACTGTTAAAGGAGGACTCATGGGAATTTCAAGTCATTTAACCATGCATTTGCTAGCCACAACTTTAGACACCAGCTGGATCTGAA